CAGAGCACATTTTGTGACCAATTCATGCAAAACTCCACGTAATCCCAAGGGGTTCACATACTTTTTCTTGCAACTGTTATAAGAGTTGTTGACTTACAGCCATTCATGTAGTGACCAGCGTTACAACGCCGCTGAAAACAGTGACTCACGACCGTTTTTCACACTTACGACCACTGCAGTATTTCCCTGGTCACATGATCCAAGTTGAAATGCTTGGCAACTGACCCGTATTTATGACGGCCGCCGTGTCCAAGGGACGTGTGGTCCCAGTTTGCGATCTTCTGACAAGCAAAGTCCACGGGGAAATCAGATCCAGTTAACAAGCGGGTGACTCAATGAACAACGGCAGCGATTCACTTAACAGCGGCGGCAAGAAAGGTTGTGAAAGGGGGCAAACCTGACTTAAAAGCTGCCATGGAAATGTTGGGCTCAGCTGCCGTCCTAAGTCGAGGACTGCTTATAAACAAACGAACACCAGACATCAGAGCCAGAGGCCTCCCTTGGGGAAGTCCCAGCTCTCTGCTTCGCCTGAGGTGTCTTATGTTATAAAAATAAAAATAATAACGGTACTGATTTCCGAGAAGCCCTGAAATTTCCTTAGAAAAGCTCAGAGCAAAAGGACGTTATCTGGGAGGGTGACGGCCCTTATGTGACTGGGGAAGCATCGTGCTGGTAAGAGGCAGTTTGGGGAAGAGAAACCACCCCACCCACCCATGAGAAAAAGGCAAAACCCAAATAAAGAAATAAATTGGAAACCGAGCCTTTTGCTTAGGGAAGGAAGAGCAAATCCTCCCCCTTACACAACCTACGAAGGAGAAATTGAAAAGGACGAACTGGGAGATTAGCAATCAGGACGCCTGAAAAAACAAGATTAAGGCTTTTCTGTGTTCCGGCTGGGGGTCCCATTGACGGCCTTTGCCCGTGTTAGCGGGGTCCTTGAGCAAACAGGGTGCTGAGGTCAAGGGTGAAGCTGCAAAACCTTGGGGGGGGGAGGAGGAGGAAGGAAAGGGGGAGAGGAAGTGAGCAGAGGGAGGGGCAGGAAAGGGGGGGGGTGTCCCAGCGCTGAGTCACCCCATCTCGCCTGCGGTGCAGACAGGACGGAGGGAGTTACCCAGGCGAGACCAGCAGCTCCGTGTCCTGAAATGTGGGGTCAGCTTGTAAGGCTGGCTTTCTGCAGAAAAGGATGAGTTTTAGGACTGAGGATTGTGTGTGTGTGTGTGTGTTGTGTTGTGTTAGCCTTGTGGTAGTTGAGAGTGTTAGTATTTGCTAGCCAGTCAAAGGATTGGGAGTTGTTTTCTTGCAGACGTTTCATTACCCAGCTAGGGAACATTATCAGTGCCAGAAGGGAGTGAAGAAGAGGAGGAGGAGGAGGAGAGAGGGAGGGAGGGAGGGAGGGAGGGAGGGAGGGAGGGAAGGAAGGAAGGAAGGAAGGAAGGAAGGAAGGAAAGAAAGAAAGAAAGAAAGAAAGAGGACTGTGAGGTCCTTGGAGCTCTCTGAGTTTCTTTTCTTGCAGATGTTTCATTACCCAACTAGGGAACATCATCAGTGCCAGTAGGGAGTGAAGAGGAGGAGGAGGAGAAAGGGGAGGAGGAGGAGGAAGGAAGGAAGGAAGGAAGGAAGGGAGGGAGGGAGGGAGGGAGGGAGGGAGAGAGGGAGGAAGGAAGGAAGGAAGGAGTGTGCAGTCCTTGGTGATCTCTGAGCCTGGTTATTTCCTTGCAGACATTTCATGACCCAACTAGGAAACATCATCAGTGCCAGTAGGGAGTGCAGTTGGACTAGAGGAGGAGCCCCCCCACCTGCCGCCCTTCCCACTCCCTCCCGTCACTCACCAGATGAGCTCCCGGTTGCCCCTCTGCAGCTTCCCGTTCTCGTCCAAATATTGCTCGATGGTCAAGTTCCCGTTGGTGTCGTGGGCGGAGTTGTAGTTGGTCACCACGCGAGTCGGGATCCCGAGGCAGCGGAGCACTGGGCAGGCGGGGAGAAGAAAACACCCCCGTTCAGCGTCTCTCTGCCCCCCTGACAGGAGAACCCCAGCCTCCCTCTGGGAAGCCGGAGGAAATGTCTGGTTGTCAACTGACATTGGCCTCCCTGCCTGTGGAAGCCCCTTTCCTGCACCCAACACGCGGCTTTGGTCTCGGTGCCCCCAGAAGGTTTTGATCGAACCTTTTTCTAAACTTCTGCCACAATTGTGCCTGTACCTGCCCTGCACCCACAAAACAATGCGCCCTGCCCACCTGCGCATGTGTGCACGACCCCCCTCATGCGAATGCTGGCTGGGGAATTCTGGGAGTTGAAGTCCAGACATCTTCAAGTTGCCAAGGTTGAGAAACACTGTTTTAGAGGGTTCTTGAGGCCACCTGGAGGTTTATCTGTGTCTTCAGGGTCACCTGAGTGATGCAAATGGGTGCAGCGCCTTCTTGGAACTACTGAAAGGACTGTGTTGTAGACTGGAGATGGGTGGTGTGGTATCCCTCCCCCTCTGTCAAGAGAGGGTCTGTTCAATTGGGACCTAGATGGCCTCTTTGACTCCTCTTCCAAACCAGCGGTCCTCTCTGTCCAAAATGTGGACTTTGCTGTCTTTGAAAGGGGGGCCTTTGCCTCTTAAATGCAGATGGACAGCCGAATCTTGTCCTGATGGGTTCGTTCTCCTATGTTACGCCATGCCTTTGTGAAGTGGTTGTTTTGTTTCCCCAATGTACCGATCTACACATGGCTCACGGCATTGTACTGCCTATACCACATTGCTCGGTTTGTGTCTGGATGTTTTGTTTTTCAATGCCAGTGAGACATGTGCAGATCTGAAGAAGACCCCACATCCATTTGCACCACTCAGGTGACCCTGAGGACACAGATAAACCTCCAGGTGGCCTCAACGACTCTCTAAAATAATTCAAAGGACCAACAGTCTACAAGGAATATAAATCCTTCCCTCCCCGCTAGATTCTTGGGTGAGAAGCGAAATGTTATCCAAACCCAAGAAAGTCCTGTTGACGTTTGGGAAAAGCAGCTTTGGGACTTCTCTGGAACTTCTCAGCTGTTACTATCGTGATGGTGACCACCTGGGCAGCCTCTCGACCTGTCATGGATTCTCACCTGTGCAGGCCACTGCGGCGAAGACCCAGCATTGCCCGTATCGAACCGGTTGGCATCCGTACTTCTGCCACCTCCGTAGAATGTCCACACTCCCACTCCAGGTCGTGGGGCTGATCCCATCGCCATAGCGGTTGTCCCAGCGTCCGAAAAGGACCCCTTTGTCATCGTTGCAGTTGACCTGCAGCCGGGGAAGCAACGGCTCGGTGTGAAATGACACAAGTTTCAACAGAGAAAGAAAAACATTTGTAACTCAGGGTTGAACTGAGGGGTCCTTGGCGTTCTCTGAACCTAGATGTTTTCTTGTGGACCTAGATCAGTTCTGGTAGGGAGTATGGTAAATTGACAACAAACCTCCCTCCCTTCCAGCACTGGTGATGTTCCCTAGTTTGGTAACGAAATGTCTGCAAGAAAACAACCAAGCTCAGCATCAAGGACCTCCCTGTCCTCCTCCTCCTCCTCCTCCTCCTCCTCCTCTCCACAAACCCCACTCCCTTCTACCACTGGTGATGTTCCCTAGTTTGGTAACGAAATGTCTGCAAAAAAACCACCAAGGGCAGAGAGCACCAAGGACCCCATAGGACTCTTCTTCTTCTTCTTCTTCTTCTTCTTCTTCTTCTTCTTCTTCTTCTTCTTCTTCTTCTTCTTCTTCCTCCTCCTCCTCCTCTTCCTCCTCCTCCTCCTCCTCCTCCTCCTCCTCTCCAAAAACCCCACTCCCTTCCAGCACTGGTGATGTTCCCTAGTTTGGTAACGAAATGTCTGCAAGAAAACCACCAAGCTCAGAGAGCACCAAGGACCCCTCAACACAAGTTTGCCATAAATCAAGTTTACAAAATAGTTCCACCTTGTTGGGTCTTGGATAACATTTTAAACCTTGCTGATTTCAACGCAGGAGTTGATTTCAGCAGAATCAGAAAAGGTGGGAAGATCTTTCTGGATTTGGTCTTCCTCTGTCAAGAAATGGCTAGTCCAACCTGGCCCAGAAACCCACTCTGTCCTTTCTCATTTAGGGCAGGGCAGAGGTCCGTGTGGTGGTCTTACCATGGCGCTCACCACCCTGCTGATGTAGACGGGGCTGTTGCGTCGAGAACAGTCCTTGTCTTGATTGAGGAGGAACTTGGGGTTGGTGTCCAGCAACTGCAAGCAGATGTCCAAAATGTCCTCTTCAAACTATTTCGGGGGAGACAAGAAGATGAGAGACGTGAGATGGAGCTGGTGGCCTTCAACAGAAACATCTGGTGGTTTCTTGGTCCTTAGCTAGTCACCAATGCATCAATGGAGTCCTTACCTTGTGGCTAAACCCTCGATAGCCAGAGAACAAGGAGGAACCATGGCCATGAGTCCTCTGCCTTGTTCTGGTGGACAGCGCCCAGCGCCTGGAGACCTCAGGAGCTTTGGCCCCAGAAGATGGCCTTCCTGCCCACCATGGATCTTCTTCAAGCAGGGGCAAGTCCTGGCCTATTTATTTCCCACTCCACCCCTCCACATCCTGCTCCCTCTTTCCCCCTTTCAAAACTGTAATCTTACTATCGCTTGTAAATCCATTTTATTGTTTTTGGAAATATTTATGGGTCACAGTCCTATAGCTTTTATTTTAAGGTTGTAAGCCGCTCAGAGTCCCCTCAAGGGCAGATGGGTGTCAAATAAATCCAACAAATAAATAAAATTTGCCGTTCAATATTTATTCGTTCGTTAAATTTATTTGCCGCCTACCTATATCTAATAAATAAATAAAAATGGCTATTCAGTATTTATGTATTTATTAAATTTATTTGCCACTATCTATATCTAATAGATAAATACAAATTGCTATTTAGTGTTTATTTATTTGTTAAATTTATCTAAATCAATTTATTTGTTAAATTTAACTCAATCTAAATAAATCTAAATCTAATAAATAAATAAAAATTGCTATTCAGTATTTATTTGTTAAAATTATTTCCTGCCTATCTATATCTAATAAATAAATAGCAATTACTATTTAGTATTTATTTGTTAAATGTATTTGACACTTATCTATATCTAATAAATAAATAAATAAAAATGGCTATTTAGTATTTATTTATTTGTTAATTTTATTTGCCACATATCCATATCTAATAAATAAATAAAT